CGACTATTCTACGGCATTGAAATTACCTGCTTAGCCACCGAGAAGCTGAACCGCATCCTCACTCCGGTATACAATACCTACGTACGCATCGTATCCGGCCTTCTACCTTCCACGCCTGCAGACGCTGCTTGTGCGGAAATCGGAGTCCTCCCTTTCCGCTATCGATCTGCTGCAGCTACTGCTACGAAAGCCGCTGCCCTCGCTGCTAAGACATCCGGGAATGATAGGGTCTTTCTCCTCAATGAGGGGAACAGAGCCCTCCGCACTGCAGCCAACCTTGACCTCCCCCCCGTGGCCAGGGTCCACTAGCATGGAGAGAAAAGTTGGCGATCAAACGTCGTCAAAATAGATAAGCGGATTAAGAGGGGATTCCAAGCCGGAGATAACTCTGTAGCGTTGAGGCGTTCAGTTGCAGAACTTCTTGGGTCGGTCTATCCGGGGCACGTTCATCGCTTTACAGACGGATCGCGATCACGGGCTGGAGTGGGACTCGGAGTGGCAGGACCAAACTCCGCAACAAGTCAAAGTCTACCGGAGGAGTGTTCCGTTTTTTCCGCAGAAGCCGCTGCTATTCTTGATGCAGCCATCACTCCTGCAGATCAACCTATCCTTGTGCTAACGGACTCACACAGCGTCATCCAGGCGCTGGAAGCCGAAGCCCCGAGCCACCCCTGGATACAAGCCATTACACGATATGCCCCGCCCTCAACCGTTTTTACGTGGATTCCCGAGCGCTGCGGTGTTCCTGGAAATGAGGCTGCGGACAGGCTGGCGGGATCCGGTCCATCTGGTCCCCACTTCACCAGGAACGTACCACTCCTAGACGTCAAGCGTTGGATCGCGAATATTATCATGGAAGCCTGGCAGAAGGAATGGTTTCAGTCGCGGACCACTTTCCTGAGAAAGATCAAAGAAACCGTACGACCCTGGCTAGACAGCCACAAGTACAAGGACCAACGGATCATTTCAAGACTCCGGACCGGCCATGCGAGGATTTCCCACAATTTTGGTGGGACACTCTTCCACAAGGTTTGTCCAATCTGCAGCATCCCTGCCTCGGTGGAACATGTGCTGTGTGTCTGCCCAGAGTTTCAGAGGCTACGCGAACAACACCGACTCCCAGAGAACATCAGGGAGCTACTAGGCGACGACCCCTCGACGCTGGCTGCGCTTATTGCTTTCTTGAAGGACGCCCACCTGTACAACCAAATCTAGCACTCTCGTCGTTGGCTGCGCTGTCCGTGTTCTTCCACGTTCCTATTTTCCTGCCGTCGGGGTATCTCTGCCGAACTGGGGCACTGTCTCGTACGGTGGAGCTCTACCTTGTTCGCGCATCCATTCCTCACCACAGTCCCGATGTAACTCCCATTTTACATTAAGTTTTTTTTTTTAAATGTTGTTTCAGAGCCAGTTTTACGTTACGTTAATGTTAGACAGAAACGTTTCCTTATAGGCGGGCCCTAAGCCTGACCTACTATCGAATGTGATGAACTAGCCTACGGCTAAAAGTCACAAAAAAAAGAAAAAAAGGAAAGTTTAGCAAGATTTTGGAGAGTACTGAAAACTGTAGGAAAATTCTGCAAATTTCATGAAAAATGTGGGAATTTCAGAGAAGCCTATGAACTTCAAGGAAGTCTGCAAACTTTACGGAAGTCTATGAACTTCTGGAAATTCTACTGAATTCAGGAATGTCTGGGAACTTCAAACATATTCTGTAAACTTCATTGACATTAGCGTTGAAATCCGACAAACACTGGTAACTTCAGTAAATACTTCTTATCCCAGAAAAATTCTATGAACTTCAAAAAATCTCTAAAAATATCAGGGAAGGCTGGTAACCCCAAAAAAACTGTTAATTTCATAGAAAACTGTGCACTTCCAGAACGTTCTACAAGCATGCGAAAAAAAATTGCGAATTTCAGGAAGTTCTGAAAACAACATAAAGGTTTAGTGAACTTCATGGATATTTTGTGAACTTTAGGAAAATTCTGCGAAGTCGGATTTTTTTTCCTTTATTTACAAGGCTTTCAGTCATTGGCTGGTTCACCTTGGGAACTCCAGAAGGGAGTTCCAAAAGGATCGTAAGAGCTGCTACAGTGTTTGTATAACCATTAACACTATTAACATAAAACACAAATCAGTATAAACATAAATAACATCTTAAAATAAGAACTGGCGCGGTACATCTGCGTTAATTCAGTTGGATTTCCAATTGGATTGCGGTAAGTTGTCATCAGGGTTCAGGGTTGAAACGTATCGTGGTGTATGCCGGTAGTTGGAGCTAGTCATTGAGGGTTGCGTGGGTCGAGTAATTTAAATCACATTGAAGAGTCCGGTTTCCTTCAGGTAGATGAACAGCGTAGCAGTCCGAACGGGATCATCGGAGAGGACATCCCGGATGCTGCCGGAAATGTCGTAGCTTCTCATGGTTCCATCGAATTTCGGGCATATGCAGATGAAGTGCTCTACGGTCTGTGGGATGTGGCAGTGGTCGCATATCCTCCGGAAGGGTCCGTCCGATAAAACGACCTGCTCACGGTGGAGGGGTGGATCCTCCCATCTGCTGGTGTCCCCTTTTATCTTCCGTATAAACAGTATACTTCCGGCGAGCCAGTCCCGGCTCCAGGATTGGTCTACGGTCTTGGTGACCCACTTCTTCAGATCCTGCCCGGGGACCTTCCGGGTATATTTGGTCATACGACGGCCTGATCCGGCGAGATGATCAGCTTCCTCATTCCCTTTTACACAGCAATGTCCAGGCAACCAAATGAATACCGTGTTGGGTGGCGCGTTCTCTTGGATGGCCTGTATCCAGGGGTGCCTGCTGGTTGCGGATTCAAGTACAGTGACTACACTAGCAGAGTCTGTGAAAAGTGCGATTGGCCGTGTTTCCGGGGTAGTAACTGCGATAAAAGCTGCGGCTGCCTCGGCGGAAAAAATAGAGCACTCATCCGGGAGCCTGTGACACTCCTTTAGGTGGTCACCGGAGATGCCGATGCCCACCCTTTTCTGGGCTACGGAGCCGTTCGAGTAACGGATGGCGTATCCAGCGTACTTCCTTCTCTGCAAATCCAATACCGCCTGATTTACCGCAGAGGGATTGGAACCAGCCTTGAACTGCCGGTTTGATGGTGTGGTCGGTCTTAATTGGCGGTTTTTTCCAGTCTCTGGCTCCTACCCCCAATGTGTCTTGCACACAGGGGGGAGAGCTCGGTGGGAGATTTCCCTGAGGAACTTGTTGGCCTCCTTTAGGAGGGAACCTTTCTCGTCTGTACCTGACGTTATCTCATTCAGCCCGATGGCGCGTTTGCATATAGTCCCGGTAATCAGGCGGTCGAAGGGGAGAAATCCGAAGTGCTTGCTGGTAGACTGGTGTAAGCCTTTCCACCAGGCGCGGTTTGGCAAGGTACGTAGCCTCGATGCCGTAGGTCAGCCGCGAGTTTACTATAGCCTTCGCAACATTGAAGCGTGAGGTCCGGTTGGCGTTAGGATGTCGGCCTGCTAGTGTCCTCAAGATGTTTAGGCGCTGTTTGCAGGCACTCTTTACCTCGTTCAGGTGCGTGTTGAATGTAAGAGAGCGGTCGAAATGCACACCAAGTATCCGAAGGGTTTTTCTGAACGGAATTACCTCGTCCTGGATGCTGATCTTCGTGCTGAGAATCCGGTGATTCGACGGACAAATATCTAATATCTGGAATCCCGCGTTTGATGCCAAATTCGAGATGTTGGCCGTGGCTTGAATAATTTTTCTTCGAAGCGCTTTGACAGTCTCCTTAATTGCCATAAGGACGATGTAGTCTGCATACACGAAAATGAAGAATCCGACCGGCTACCTGCGAAGTTGGATAAATTTTAACGAATTTATGAAAATTTTACCTATTTTTCCCGATTAAAACCGAAAATTAAAAACAATTATTAAACTACTTGATCACCTTTTTGCATGAAGACACACGGCATGACAATGAACAATGTGAAAAGCGAATTTGTTATAACCAACAGCGAGAGAACCGAACAAGATACACAAAAACAAACTATAGCAAGTTTGAGTGCAATGAGTGGATTACCGATGAGAAGCAATCGGTTAATTACGTTTACACCAGAACGGGAGCCGCTTCCAGTGGTTTCATTGTATGGCAGATTCGCCAACGGGGGTCAGAGCGCTTCCATTGCAGCAATGGCCGCAAAACACACACTCATCACGAAACGGTTGCTTTCCAAAGTCGACGACGCATCGACTGAAAGCACTGCTGACGAAGAACAATGAGGAGGACCACACAATGGTTGCTGCCGAGTAATCAGACGATCGCGTGACACACATTGAGAGTGGTCTGCTTCTGTCGACAGCCGAGTGAACACTGGTGTAGTGATATTCACTTCTCGGTTCACATTTAAGTTCGAAATGTAGGCTGTCGAGGGCTGTCGATTGCTATACCGGTCGATGCTGGTCACTAGTCTTTCAGCTACAACGCAAATCGAGTATACTACGAACAGGAATGCAAGAACAATTTGGATGGATTGGATTATGCAGTTGTGGCTGTTGGATACGGAAAAGTCAAAGGAAAAGATCACTGGCTAATCAAGAACTCCTGGTCCAACTACTGGGGCAACGATGGATATGTCAAATCATGTCGAAAATCGCATGTAATTTTATGTTGTGGCAACGGCTCGGGAGTGGCAGGATCTGGACTTGTAAGGACCCTTTTTTTCAGCGGCAAATCACCAGCACTCGATCAATTGATCATCTACGAAACCAAACTCACTTGAACAATACCGAACTACTTTTCACGGCACAATCACACGTAATTTGTGTTGCTTCCACTCAACCTAATAAACTTACAATTTTTAAGCCGAATTTCACTGGTTGAGGTACTACGATCGAATTCTCCCGGAACTCCAACCCGATGGCAAAACCGAACGTCTTAGCTTGGGATCCACCTTCTTGACATAATCCATTCCGACGTCGAAAACCTCCAGGAGCTTCTTGCCCGGAATCATCACCTTCAGCAGTTCCTCTTCCAGATGGAGATCGTTTCCGTCGGATGGACCAGCAACGTTCGGACGAAGTGCAGATAGTTCTTGACGCTGAATGCACTGAACTGCAAGCTGTAATTGCCACCCGACTGGATAATCGACGGGTAGCACATGCCCAACTAGTTGGTATCCACACCGGAGCCGTACCTTTTGTCCGTCAGAGCCTGCTCGACACCCTCCGACAGTGTGGCATGTTTTCGATACGTCACCAAACAGGCCTTCTTGATGGTGACAACCTCGGAGTCCTTCTTGGAGCACATGATGTACCCGATTGGGACGCTGATGTCCATCCTGTCGAAGCTCTTGTCCTTGACGAACGCTCGCCACGATTCACAGAACTCTCCCGGAAAGTTGTCCTTGGAGAAGACGCCCAACGTTTTGCCATCCTTGGATCCCTTGATCGCTTCCAGCAGCTTGTCAAAATTGGCCTTGTCTTTGTCATTTTTATCCCGAACTAACAGCTTCACCGATGGAATGCCCTCCTCACCGTCCTTCTCGATCTGCTTCAAGAAGTCGATCTTCTTATTGCTGATCAGGAAAAATCGTATCGGCCAGCTCGTATCGCAACCAGGTCTGGAGCGAGGTGGATTTGCTGTAGATGGTTTCTTCGTCTACGCCGCCCGCCGTCAGAATGCAATCCACCTTCTGCAGCTAATCATCAAAGGAAATCTCTGGTTCCTTCCAGTTGGCGTAGAGGCGTTTTATTCGTCGGTAGAAGGAATCCTTATCGAGCACCATATTCGACATTTTCGGGGCCGTTCAATTATCGCATCTAACGGTTTTCGATGCGGGGACACTTCCGGTTGCTGTCCGTTTTTTTTTCTTTGTTGTGTCCTAGTGAACGGCTGAGACCTCTCACGGTCCATCTCGTCAGCATTCCTCCTTGCTTGCTCTATGAACGGCACTGCCGGCACAATCGGCACAGCTGCGGCACTCTTGCGGCACACTGAGAAAAATGTTGACCCAAGATTGGTGTGCAGAGTTACCTACCCTTGGCATTCCCTAACACAGATTTCAAAATCGAATTCCATCTGGTCGCGCCGAACGGTGCTTCTTCAATCACCGTGTGGTGGTGGTCGTGTTCGGTCGGTCGTCATCATCAGCAGCAGCAGCAGCAGCAGTGCTTTCGGCGTGTGGCGTTGAACATTTTTCTCCAGTACACAACGAAAAGCTGCCCGCAAGCAGCGAGCGTCCATTCACCGAAGAAGGATGAAGAAGCCGCACCGCTACTGATCGGATTCAGTTGCTCGTCGTGAGCCGCTGTGGGCCATCTATGCCAAGCGCGTCTCCCTCGTTCCAAACAACGTACAGCTCGCCAGCCTCATCTGTGTTGAACACCCTAATAGCTCAGCATTTTACTCAACCATCACGACAAAACGATTATAATTTCTAAGAACCGCATTGCAAGGGAGTTCTGGGAGAGAAAAATCTTTGCTTATCAAGTGCAATCTGCTTTCAAGGTAGTTCTGAGGAATTTTAGATTTATTGTGAATTCTGCGATAGTTTTGAGTAGAATTTCAAGAAAACCGTGAATTAAATTCAAAGTAGAATTTAATGAAACCTCATAGGAATTTCTGAGGAGCAGAACTCCTGTGAACTTCAGATGAAAATGAGGATGATTTCATAAAGTTTGTGGGAGAAAACGAAGTCCTTGGAAATTATTGGAGAATACTTAGGGGGTGAGGGGGATAACTCCAGGAGATCGTCAAAGCAATTCGGAAAAGAATTTCAGGAGAGTTTGCCAAGCAAATTATAATTGAAAATTCAAAGAATTAGCTAGGAGAAATGCAACTGAATTTCAGGAGACTTTCAAGGGAAATCAAAAGGAAATCTGAAATGAATTCAATGAAAATTCTGAGATTTTTTCCAAAAGATTTCTTACTGAATAGAATTTTAAGGTAATTCCGAGAAAAATTCAAAGCGAACTTAATTCTGAGCATAGTTCCAACGAACTTTTGGGGAATATTTCAATGCAATTGCGAGAAATATTCTAAGTATATACTGGTGATATTTGTTTTTAGATAATTCAGAGAAGCTTTCCGAGTGGATTTCTAGAATAACTTCATAAGATTCGGGAGAATGCAAAGCGAATGCTGAGGGAACTTCAAGTGATCTTTTAAGAAGAAATCTCCATTGAAAATAGAATGAGCAATTTTGAGCCCAAGCCACATTGCAAGTTTTATAAAGCATTCTACAAGTCTAAATCGTGGTCTACAGAAGGTGCGTTAAAGAGCTCGGCACGGTCGGTGTTGATGTTGGTTCGTTCGCAACTATTTTTGCAAAAAAAAAATAAGTGTTTTCGACCGAAAGTGTATCAAAAGTGCTTCTGAACGTGTTTCGCAGTTGGGTGTGGTGAAATTCGTGCATTCCCGTTTGATTTTCAGTGGAAATTCCGTAGAAGACGACGGGTTTGCTTATGCGAGAGTGACGATTATTGGATCCGTTTCTTTGCACGGGTGTGTTTTTTTTTAAACCAGCGGTATGTAAGTGTGCTTGTGATTTTCATTGCCTACCGGGAGGCCGGTTCACCGTGTTCGGATGTCACGCTTTCGGCGTGTAGTTCTATCGAGAGTTTCGTCACCGTGTGCGAGTTTGAACACGGCCACGGGTTGGTAAATTAGCTGGCGAAAGTACTGACAATGTGTCCGCCGCGAGTTTTGGTGGTGATTCGGTGGCCGACGTTGCCGTGAATCAGCGAGTTTACGGCTTGCAAAAGTGCTCGTCTGCTGGTCTCTCGCCAGCGTCGGAGATTGTGAGCAAGCTGAAGGATGTCTCGCTGGATACGCCCAAGACTGGACGGGCGGTAGCTGGTGGCCGTGAACGGTTCCTGGGGAAAGCACTAGACGCGAACCTCCTCCCAGATGACCATGGCAATGCAAGAAAATTTGTTTTCGTTGAAGCAAGTATTACAACAAAGGTAATTTCTATTAGATATTTTTGCAAACAGTGGCAGATAGCAGACATGAAGCTCAAGTGGAGGTGCTGGGCTAAAGTGTTATATCCTAGACAAATGGTAAGTTACAAATTCGCTGTTGTCGTCGTCGTAGTCGCCGTAGGCTGTACCGTTAGTATATTTAAAAATAACCATCAACCGCTGAAACTATATGAATTATCACGTATTTCTGTTGTTTATTACATACCAAGTGAGGTTTGAGAACGGAATTTCATTTGAATAGCTTGTTTAACCAGGGCTTAAACAATCGTCACGTCGGTCGTAGCTTGTTATGATTGCCTGAACAAAGCGTAAAGAGCAAATCGAAACATTGAACGTCGCGTGATAGTGGAACTTAATGAAGGCCTAAGTACTCTTTCGTAGCTTTTAGTTTTCGGATTTGAAAGATCGTCGGTTGCAGTGGCTTGCTTACTGAGCAGAAAAACGCGGTCCCAGGTCGTTTCATATTAAAAATGTATGGTAAGATCGGTTGTTTATTATATTTTGTAAAACTTTTCGCAATCGTCGGTGCCGGGTTTGAACAGTTATATCAACTTGAGTAACGGTATAATGTGATATGAGATCCTCGGTGGCCTTAGAGCAACCGTTTTTGCAAACTAAGCAGAACAACATGAGTCTAATCTCAAGCCCATCCACATTCAAGATTCGTCAATCGCTTTATTGGTTAACATGACTACATGGTAATAACAGCAACTCGATGATTAAGAAGGAGCTCGCCTGCCTAGTGGCAAACGTTTTTGCTTACTGAGCAGAAAACCGTGGGTTCAATCCCAAGCTCCTTCGCGTTATTGGATCGTTAGGACATCAATTCAGCTTAGCGTTTACCAAAACGAACCCTGCTGCAAACCAAACCCTATTACCCAATATCCTAGTGATTCCTCGTGGAAGTGCAGAGGTGTTCTCGGCTTCCATCAAAGCGAGTGTCACGCCAACACATTCCTACTCATTCCTTTCTTGACCTGCGTTCAGGCGCGGCTGGCGCTGGTATTGCCTAATTCGAGATCAACAGTTTTTACACATTGAGGATGATTGCTAGTCCCAAGCATCGTATATTGGTTATCTGTGTAATTACAACTGGTCTGGCAATAGCAGAGTAGCAACCGTGGGCGGTCAATCATGCTAAATCATGGTGTACAGAACCCTCATAAATCCAAAATTGTTACTTGGGAGGTCTTCTGAACTACTTGAAAGTTTTCAAAATATTTCTGAAGTTAATTGAACTACCTTGAAGTTCTTTTATAGTTTGAGAAACTAGCCTGATGCTCACAATACTTCTTATCAAATTTTTAAACTTTTCCGTACTTCCTAAAGTTTCCCCAATTTTCCTAATGATCATGGATCTTCTCTAAAGTTTTAACAATTCGCTGAAGTTCTCGAAATTTCTCTAAAGTTTTTACAGTTCTCATGAAGCTTTTTGAACTGTTCTAAGTTTAAATGAACTATCCTAAAAATGCTTCTGTGAACTTCTGAACTTACGTGAAGACCTCAATTACTTTCTTAGTATTTTTGAACTTCTCTGAAAATCGGGGAACTTCTTAAAATTTCCCGTAATTTTTTTTAAAACTCCCCCTGAAATTCCCCCTATCTTCGGAGCTTACTAAACTTCATTGAAATGCTCCCGCATTTTGCTAATGCTCATGATAGTTCCTGAAGCTCTCGGATCTTCCCTTAAGTTCCATCGACTTCTATGAAGATCTCGAAATGTTTCTGTAGATCTCTGCACTCCTGTGAAGTTTTCAAAGTTTTTCTTAAATTTCTGGAACATTCTGGAAACATCCGAAATTTTCATGGAACTGCCCTTAAATTATCGACATCAATTCATAACTTCTTCAATAGTCTAGATTTTCCTGATGTTATTAAAACTGCCCAAAAGATTTCTGAATTTCCTTTAACTTCTCTAGACTGCCCTGAATCTCGCATTATGTTCATAAGTACCCGCAATTTTACTGAAGTTAATTGAATTGCCTTGAAGTATCCACAATTTTCACTATGTTTCATAAACTCTATAAACGCTCACGGAATATTGCCTTAAATTACTAATTTTCCCTGAGTTTATCTGGACGACCCTGATTTCCTAAAGTTTTCAAAAATTTGTTTAATGTTCCGGAAAATTTTATGATATGTTTTCATAATTTCCTGACGCTTCAAGTTATCCAATAGTCCTCGAAGTACTCGGAACTTCGTCGAATATCATGAAAAATATCTCAATTTTCTAGAAGTTCACTTGAATTGCCAAGATTTGGGAGGAGGAGATATTACCGGAGGAGTGGATGGAAGGTGTCGTATGCCCAATCTACAAAAAGGGCGACCAGTTGGATTGCTGCAACTACCGCGCGATCACACTGCTGAGCGCCGCCTACAAGGTACACTCCCAAATTCTATGCCGCCGCCTGTCACCATTTGCAAGAGAGTTCGTGGGGCAATACCAGGGCGGGATTCTTGGGTGCCCGCGCTGCCACGGACCAAACTTTTTTCAAATCCGCATACGACACAATCGATCGAGATCAGCTATGGCAGATTATGCACCAGTACGGATTTCCGGATGACGCGATTGGTCAAGGCGACGAGTATCGGGGACACTCTCGAGCCTTGGATGGATTTTCGTGTCTGCTATTCAACA